TCGCAGAGACGCAGCAAACCATACCACAGCATGCAGTCATGATGATTGTTGGTTTGATAGGGTATTCTGATAGGTCGCGGGTAGGGTATGAAGATATGATATTCCAACTTTCGCCAAGCCCAGTGCCTTTACTTTAGGGCTTATGTAGCACATTCTTGGAAGGGGAGAGTTTGCACCAGAAGCCCTGGCCAAATGGTCCTGGGGTGCGTTTTCTAGAAAAATGGTGCACCACACCTCGAGAGCTGCCAGTCATCCTGGATGATCCTGGCATCTGATTTTTTTCCAATTTTTCCATTTGCACGGGGTGGAAGACGTGTTTGTGCATGCAGGACCTTCATTCGCTTCATGATCAAAGGATTTCAGGACTACTTCAGTGCTTGCCATGACCTCAGCAACCAGTCCATCTCGTTGGCACTCGATGGAATTCACGGACTGTACCGGAGGCTTGGTAGCAATTCCCCCAAGTTGGCGATGCTGCGGTCACCTGCGGATGCTTTGTTGGTCCAATGTTTGATGTGAGTGTGGCACATGCCGTGGCACGATGGCATGTGCGATGGTTGATGAGTTTTGCAAAAGTGATAAGTTGGAGCAAATCAGGCAATTATTTTGGTAAAGGATGCTTCTTGATCTCACTGGCGCTGTCTCGAAGCCATGATCGAGACGTGCCCACGGACCGCACGTTCGCACGTCCTCGTGCACGGGTTTTCTTCCTTGCGCGGAGACCGAGGCGCCATCAGCAACAGCAATGATATGGATCACTTGCCCAACTACCGGGCCCTGCTCACGGATCCTTGGTGGGTGCCACCCCAAGAGAAGAGATGGATGGTCCCGAATGGGGGGTCCCGGGCGGTCGCATCGGATGGACTTGAGGTCTTGGACTTGAAGAGACCGGACCTCTTTCCAATGCAGCTCCAGTGGATCATGTGATGAATTGAGCCATTTGCTTCTGTGCAGAGCCATGTTGACAGATAGATTCGCATCTGTGAGGTCTGTGATTCTGCCTGGGTCGACTCCGGTTCTGTCAGGGTCGACTCCGGTTTTTGTCACTCGCAAAGTGAGGCACAAATGTTGGACATGCTGGCGCAGGTGGGTTCGGTTCCATCCGATCCGGAAGAACCGGTTCCGTGCGGTCTTGGTGCATGGCCTGTCAACAAGGCCTTTTGCTGAGGTTTGAGGGTTTCACGGTTTCACGAAGTACACATACGGCGTAGCTAAAAACCTGTTTGCTAACTGTTGAAGAAGAATATCCTGTACAAACTGTAGGTGTCAGGGAGATGCCCAACAGATACCCTCGATTCAGGTGTCGCAGAATTGGTTTCACCACAAATATCGTTCGCCGCGGATGCAAGTGGCTTCACTTCCACGGATCTCCGCTTTCCGAACCCTCCCCGCGTTGCTGGGCGCCCCACGGATCTCCCCACTCACTCCCCGCCGGGCCAACCGGCTGTGTCGGCCAGGCGTGGCCCAAGAAGTACGTCCAACTCATGGAGCGCAAGATCGACGAATTCAAGGCCGGGCCGACTTCTGCGCGTGAGGTGGAGGTGGGTGAGGTATACCAAAGCCAGACATGAGCTGTTTTGAATTGTTTTGAGAGGAGAAGAGCTTTTTTTTGGCTGCAAAACAGGGGTCACTCAGGTTCTAGGGGAGTTTTCTATATAATGAGTTTGAGTAAGATCCACCCAGAGCGGGAATGTACAATGGGCCCAAGCCTTTTGGATTTGCTGAGAAGAACATCCACAAAACAGTCCATGCGTTTTTTTCGGGGTTGTTCAAATTACAGGCTCTACTGGATGGTGTGTTTGAAAGTCGCCCAGCTCTCTTTAGGTCTACCTCTTTTTCTCCGAGCTTTCTGGTTACTCCATGTTGAGGGAATTTGCCAGATGCTCAAAGGTCCTTAGGATAGAATGGGACGCACGCAGCCCTGCCAGGTTCAGAGGACATTCTGCAATCTCGAAATGTTGGAGCTATGATTTTAGCGACCGACCATCCAGGTAGGTCAACCTGGTTGGTTATCCTGGTGCCATGACCGAAACATCCTTGTCTTGGATAACTCCACAATCGCCACTTTGTTTAAGCTTCTTGGCCAGATCTTGATAGATCTTTGTAAGCATTGCAACGGCATCCCGATATCTTTAGCACTCAAACTTGAGCCACCCACCATGTCACTGAGTTGTACCTCCCAACTGAGGCCCCGCATGTTTCATCCCATTCACCCGCAGGCCTCCGATGGGAGTTCTTACCTTCACCTGGCAGCCACAGAAGGTCTGGGGATTGGGTAGGGGGGGAGAGAAGCGAATCGCAACAAAGGAATCCCTCCATTCACTCAGACATGAGATCCCCAAGCACTCATGTGTGTGATGATTTTGTCCAGAATGCTGAGAAGGGCGTACATGTGTAATGATCGAGATCAACTTTAAAGTGTTTATGGAATGGTTGAGATCAGAATGGATCGAGTTCTACTTTCAGCTTTCTGTATTTGGTTTCAGGAAAGGACACCTGGACGTGTTGAAGGACATGTGCCCTAAGTCTGTTGCCTCTTAAATGTATATATACTATATAGTAATATTACACATACAATAATAGTTAATATAGATATTTATATTATACATATGCAGTTTTTGGATCTTCTGAAATCTCACCCGCGACTTGCAGCTGTGCTGTTCTGTCTTCCGACATGTCCATATGGTACATCATGCCAAAAGTTATCCCAAGTACCTAAAAACATGACGCGCTAAGACATCGCCAGTGGGTGCTTTTTGCTGGATCTTGTATCGATCGGGACCTATACCTTCGCCATGTTTTCATGGGGATGCGCAGCTTCGTTCTTTCGTCCTCGAGGTGTCGGAACCGTGGCGCAAAGCGCCAGGCCATTTGCCCATCTTTCGCTTGGTGAAGCACTTCTCGGATGCCAACCAGGCACGGAACACTCGTGGCGAGCGCCAGTAGTCAGTGGCGCGACGTTGGGGGGAGTTGCGCGCCAGGAGAATGGGCCAAGGACACTGGCAGGTTCCAGCAGCTTGCCACTTGCGCTAGCCGCTAGACGGATCTCGGACATCCCAATGAAGCTACTTGCTCCATGTGTCCAACCAAGCCGACTGTTCCCCAAAAGCCACGAATCGGCCATAGATCAGGATTGTTCAGGCTAGTGATCATCCCCCAATTTGTTTGAAAGCTTGCGGGCCGACAAGGCATGGAAGCTCCAGTGGTTTGAACAGCCTGGCTGTTCTGAGTGATCCCTATCCCATACGCTCCATGGGACTGGAATATATGCCACCCCATTGACTCCGTTGACCCACCACCCCTATGTATGCAAATATGGCAGTCTCATGGAGCATCTGGGTATGGTTATCTATGGTTGGTCCTCATCACCCCACCTCCACAGAGCATCTGTCAGAACTGCCTCTGGAAAGCTCGTGCTGAAGATCAGATGACCCCCTTGCACGTCCGGGCGCTCGATCTACAGCGATTGGACGTGCCGAGAGGTTTCTCCACACGAAGCATGTGACGGTGAATCAGAATCCCTACGGCCTATAGGGCCCAGCGCTTCAACCACGTCCTGAGAAGGTGGTTGGGGTGGGTGCCAGGGGGGTCAGTCCCCACCTTCTGAGCTCGAGGTATGGTTGGAGCCGAGCCCTAAGGAATGATCGTTCTGCGCGTGCACATGATCCATCGGCCGGATGGGTATGACCTTTCGGTCGCAGAGGTTCGCTCTCCAAAAGTCCCCAAAGGTGGGGGATTGGTGGTTTCCGCGGTGAGGGACCCTGTGGTTTCGACATGGGCAAACACTAGCGAATGACCGGCAGTTCCATGGAGTTGGGTGCTATCCAGACGGGTGCCCCTGTCACTTCCACTGGATGAGCCACACCACCCCGAGCTTTGTGACTCCCCTTTCCGGTTCGGAGCACCCGGCCCAGTGCGACCCAGTGACCGTTGAACACCGTGAACACCGTAAGTCGCTGCCGATCACGGGAGGTTTTCCACGGAATTGGAACCTTTCAGGCCTTATTAAAGGAAGTTTAGAGGAACTTCCGTGTTACGAACATTTATATAATTACATTAGCTGTAATTCTAGTTAGTTGTTCTACCACTGATCTCTAGCTCTAGTTCATTGTTCTACCATTGATCTCTAGCTCTAGTTACTGTAATTGTTCTACCATTGATCTGTAGCTCTAGTTAATTGTTCTACCATTGATCTGTAGCTCTAGTTCATGGTTCTACCACTGATCTGTAGCTCCAGTTCATTGTTCTACCATTGTTTGCAAGTTGCATGGAAGTGTTGCGGAAATGCTTCGGTTCATACCTTTGCAAGTTGCATTTTGGAAGGAAGTCTCGCAGCATTGCTTCATTTCACACATGTGCAACTTGCATTTTTCGTGGCAGGCGCAGCACTTTGTGAAAGCTGAGAGCTGGCGACTTTGTAGTGCAACTTTAGTACGCGGAGTATTTGGGAAGCTGGAAGATGAGAACTGGCGACTTTGTAGTACAACTTTAGTACGCGGAGCAATCTGTGGAGCTGGAAGCTGAGAACTGGCGACTTTGTAGTACAACTTTAGTACGCGACTTTGTAGTACAACTTTAGTACATCAGGGAGCACAGACCTTGCACAGGTGGCGCTGTGTTGGTCAAAAGTCCGGAGCGCATGCGTCTGACTGAGGGACACGAGGGACACGCATGGTGGAAAGAACCGGGACACTCCTATAGGTCAACTTGTTCTTATAGGAACCTTCCGCCGCCGGCTTGCCCGGGAACTACTTGTATGGCGATATTACCCATACTCGCTCCATGGGACTGGAATATATATGGCGCCCCATTGACCCCCGCTTCAACCACCCCAATGTGTGCAAATGTGGCAGTCTCATGGAGCATCTGGGTAATGGAAAGTGGCTTCTTTGGATCGTTCCTTTCCAAAGCACAAAGCACAAGATGTTGACAGCACAACCATGGACAAACCGTTTTGATCCGTGAGCGCAACGTGTTGATGGCCCTCTGTGTGCGCCCAGGTGGCAGCGCAGTATGGACATCGCGTGGTGCTGGGAAACCTAGAGAAGCCCCGTTTCTTCCGGGAGTTGGGTGTTGGCTTTCTCATGTTTTTCTGTGTTTTCCAACATGACCCAGGACCAATGCTGTGGCTTTATGGGGATGTATTGAAGGAAGTTGTGTTTTAAGTTATGTTTTGTTGGATCAACCAACTTTCCCCTGGTTGTTTGAGTCTTCAGACACTGTAGCTACTGTAGTTGTCGAAAAATGAAGTTTTTGTGTATTAAACCATTCAGCTCTATACTCGTATCATATATCTATGTAATGCCAATGACTACCCATTGATTCAACACACCTTACAGTAGCCAGGTTTTTTCATACTTGCCAGGTCGCTAGGTCGGAATAGCGCCATCACTGGTGCCAGCGTTCTCTCGGGAGAAGAGGGAGAACCTGTTTGACTTTGGTGTTTTTTCATCGGTGTTCTTTTGCTCCTAGTAGCGAACGTTGCTCCTGGTAGTAAGGCCAGGAGCCCCGAACGTACCGTCGTTGCTCCTAGTAGCGATGCCCTTTGTTCCTAGTAGCAACTTCCACCTCTTAACTCTCAACCATCCAATTTGTTGATCTTCAGTCGCTTCAGTCAGACCGAACACGAGAATTCGAGAAACCTTAAACGATCTCAACATGTTTTTTGTTGACTTTGTTCAGCTGATCTCCCAAAAGTGAGTTTGGAGGAAAAGAACTCAAACTTCACAATCCACGCCCAGGTGTGAAACCATCTTGGAAAAAAAGGCACTGGTTGACGACGTTTGCAGACTCGCAGCCTCACTGACAGTGATTTGTCGGGAAATCGATCTGGTGGATTTGGCGAGTGTATGTCAAAGTCGCGAGATCATGTAGTTTTGAATATGTTTGAATGAAGTCCTTCTCAGCCTTCTCGCGACCCAAAAGAACATGTTTGTAACAAATCTTGCAGCCTCTCTGTCTCTCCTTTGCGACTTGGCCTTTGGGCCCGCAGAATTCGCCTTTGGGCCCGAAGAAGACGAAGAACTGGCTGACCTGCCCATCATGATTCCAACCAGATCTGGGATTTTGATAGCGATGCTCTTCGACGTGAGGTTTGCGAGAGAGGAGATTGTGGAACGGGTAACATCGATCTTCAAGCGCGAGCCATCAGAGACTCCAGAAGACCAGTCGGAGTCAGAGGCCACACACATGTCACGCCCTGTCTCTGAAGATGCCAGCTGTTCAATCTGCTGGGAAGGCCACGAGGAATCTCATTCATGGATTTCTCTTCCATGTGGCCATGCCTTCCATGATGCATGCCTTCGAAAGTGGTTGGCTCAACAAAGAACCTGTCCCATGTGTCGAAGTGAACCGAGATTTGTGAGACACGGCAGCCACTAGAAATAGGGTATAGACTCGACGGTATAGCGCAGTTTTTTCCTTGGAACCCTTCTTGAATGATCTTGAATGTGAAGTGCTATGCTATGTGCACTTGGCATAGCTGCAGGATGTCATGTTCGATGAAGGAAGGGGTTCATCCCTATGCCCTTGAATCACAGCTGGCCTTTGGCTGCTGTTTTCTGATAAGAGACCTTTTCTCACCGGGGTGAGTATGGCCCAAGAAGACTGTCAATGCATCATCCACAAACAGTCCGCGGACGTTCATCCAATCGGATGGATCTTTGATCGCTGCAAGAATCCAATCAATGACCCCATGTTTCAACAAGTACCATGACAAACACATGACTGATCCCAGCCGCAAGTTCTTTTAGGACCTTCAAAGTGATTGAGATCCCAGGATGAGATCACCAACAGGCCTGCAAAAGGTGACTTAGAGACACCCAAAAATTGGGTCACTTTGAAGACTTTGAAGGTCCTTCTGGGTGCTGTGTTTCAACAGTGTTCAACTCTCCCCGGCCAGGAATTGGTTGTTCGGTGTCGCGTTCTCATTGGGCGACCACAGAGCAACCGAAAGCGAAGCATACTCGGCCTTCGGACGTGAAACGTCGGCGAAGGCCATGCGAAGCATACATCTCGGTACGACGGGTGACAAGGAAAACGTGGTACGACGGGTGACAAGGAAAAGGTGTGGTCCGAGTTTGACCGGTCTTTTGGAGCTTTCTTTGGCCAGCTGAACGCGCTATGCCAGCCATATGTATACCATCATGGTGAATGCGGTCGCCGGATGAGACACGGCTCCAGTCGTTTCCAGGCAACGGTCGATGCGGAAGACCGTGAGGAGATGGATTCTTTTTGGACCGAAGGGGGACAATTAGGCCAGAGAAAGGGAAGCATGCTATAATATAATTATACTGATACTACTACCTAGAACTCAGAAGGGCTGAGGCTGATGTTTGTTCCTAGTTGTTGCTTTTGGAATACTTCTGTCTTTTGACATGTTTGGCGGAGAAGCAGTTGATGTTGATGCTCCCACTGCGGTGCATGGCCAATGTGATTCGGCGGAGGGGTACAACATCACCGTTTCAAGTCGTAGAATCAGTGGGGAACTTGGTGTCTTTCTTGACCTAGGACTTGGGGAAAGGTTTTTCTGGACAAAGTTTTCAGACTGACTTTGTCAGAGGAAACAACTGCGGACTAGGATCCAGAAGAAGCGCAGCGATGGTCACGGTGGTCCGTTGGGTCAACAAGTTTGAACGCAGTATCTATAGGTGCAGTCGATGATGCGAGGCCTCCCCATTTGAGATGTTGCTTTTGCACAGACAGTCTATCAGCTTTACCAGACAACAAGATACAAGGGTGGACTCAGTGTGGGCCACCGTTACCTTGTTGTTATCACACCATCCTGTAGCTGGACCTATGAGTGGCAAATCACAAAGTAGCGTTGACCCTGTGGACCTGTTACCTCGTATCCGGATGATCTGCTTCCTCAGGGTGCATCTACAAATCACTTGAGCTGGACCTTGATCCGGATGTGAAAAAGAAACAACACGGTCCGATGGACCCGAGGTGAACCCGGTCCGTTCACGTGAGCGGTGGAGTTGGTTCAGGTTCACGGGGTTTTGGTTCGCGCGCGAAGCTGGCCGTTGGCCGGTTTAGGTGCGTTTCGGAAGGTTCAACTGCTAAGACCCCAGACACCTGTAACGAGGGACTGACTGAACCGATCAGTTGGGGTTTGGTTTAGAAACGATGTCCAGTCAACATTCGAGACGTCTCAAGGAGTGTTTTTGTTCGATCGGCGAACCGACCCCTCCAACCGATCTTTCGCGACAAGACGTGGAGCGTTTCCTTCGCCACGCGGCGCGCTCGCGCCTTTCGCTTTGGAACAGCCAGGAGCGTTATCCACTGCTGGGAGCTGAGTGCTCACGTGAGTGTCGCACCAGAGGTTTGAGGCCTGGGAGGAGTTGGTTTCAAGAAGTACAGTAAGAGAAGGGCTGAAAAGGGTAATGTAGACTCTTGAAATATATGTCTTTCCCCCCTATAGACAATAGTCAGGGGTGGCTAACCAATCAAGAGTCTACATTATTTTCTTTTGTCATGGTGCCCTACATCATACTGTTCTTTTGGCATCGATTGTTGTCCTTGGGCATATTCAGATTCATGTGTCCTGCTTCTTCGAAAAATCCAAGTTTTGAAGCATTTTGGAACCAGACGGTGCTCAGAAGCACCAACTGCACGGTACTTTGGGTAGCATAGAAGGTGGGTTGATAGTATTGTGCTTCTCAGGTAGCATGGTAGTTGGGTTGATAGTTGGCATGGCAGATTTGGTGTAGCATGGTGCTTCTCAGGCTTATCTCGGCGTCATTTCGGTTTCCGTCTAATTATGTCTAATTGTAATTTCCTGACCGAACACGTCACTGAGAGGTGCTCAGTTTTGCAGGCTGCATCCAAGAGGAAATGCCAAGCAAAGAAGGAGTGGAACAATCAGATGGATGTTGGTCAAACGGACGGATCAATCGTGGCATAAAGCAAGTCTATCCAGAAGTCTCACAAGACCCAAACACTCCATATTATGACATGTTTGTCCACATTGGCGCGGTTGAAACCGGGTCAATCTTGGTGTATATTCCATCTGTTATATATACCCAGTATATGTATATATGCTATGTTTGGGCTGCTCTGCTCCACTGCTACCGATCTTCTGAAGCTGAAACATAATTTTGTAAGCTGGTTTTGTGTCGTTTTGTGTCCAGCCTCTTGGTCCCGCTTCGGTCACTGTTCGGGTTACCACGGGTGGTCACCACCTTCCGCCGGCCTGGCCGCCGTTGAGATCCCCTGGCCTTGGCATCGGCCGGTGAAGCCTCGCTGTTCCGAGGCATTTAGCCCTGCAGAATGGCCACTTCCAGCTCGCACGGATCCTTTTGGACCGTTTGGAACAGGTGCCAATGGCAGATCCAAACAAATGCTTCGACACGAAGGGTAGAGCATGTAGGAGTCGAGCTACTCAGCTGTTGTGAAGACTTTTTGTGCCTTGCCGATCACTTTACACATCCGCCACATCCGCAACGCTTTTCGTAAACGACAATTTCCGAGGGAATTGCGGAATTGCGCTTTTCTCATCCCAGACACTCTATAGAATGACATAATTTGCCTACATCAATTGGGGTGGTTGAAACGGGATCAATGTATTACATGCAGCAGGTAAAGGTTCCAGTCCCATGGCGTGTTTGAGCATGCTTCCAATGACATGAGCGGCTTTCTGTGGCTGATGTTTGTTACCCAAAACCATGTCGCCCCACGAGTCGACGAGCTGTACCGAAGAACTCCGGCCACCTGGATGGAGCTGCTCGCTCCGGCTCGGCTCGGCAGGTTCAAGGGGCTGGTCGCGATGAGCACAGTCATGTGAAGAAGAAGGCGAGGCTCAGGGACGAGGTCAGGAGCATCTTGAAACTTTTGGGACCTCTTGGAGCGTAGGAGTAGCCCTGGGATCCACCCAAAGACCTGACTCCGGATTTTGATACGGAAGAAGGGTGGCTTCGAAAAAAAGAGACGATCACGTGGAACATGGTGGAACTCTTCCAGAGCTCGGATGAACTGGGCAAGTCAAACGGCAACTGGGCAAGTCCCACCCCAACATGGAGTTCTACTCAGATCGGCCAACTGTGTAGCTTATAGCATGTGTGCCACACTGACATAGGGACACGTCCGAGAAGATCACAAAAACATGTCGTGTCAACTGAACATGCTCATGGATTTGGATCAGAGTGAAGATCTCATCAGCATCATGTTCACTTGGCCATCAAGTGTATAAAACAATTAGATTTTCGCCCCTCAAGGCTTCAAGACAATACCGCAGGCTCCGACCATCCGCAGGCTCCGCGCATGTTTCACCTTCGTGGACCCCTGGAAAAAAGAACCCGGCTTGGATCGTTTGGTACCTCTTCAAGTGATCGAAGTGACAATGATGGGATACACTCCCTGAAATCATCCATGGTTTCATGGAGTGAAAACCATCTGGGACTGGTCTGATTGAAACATGCTCATCTTTGGGAGATGTGTTTTTCCTTCTTGTTGGTTCCCAAGCAAATCATATCAAATCATGTACGTAGCAAATCCAAGTTATTTAGATTATATTTGAGGTTGACCTCTTTTTGTTCAACACTTACTGGATATTTATTATGATCTCAACCTGATGACCCTCCATGCATCAAGAATACCCGCTTCGCAGCCCAGAATACCTGACCCCGACCCCTGAACAAATAAAGAATCCTGCTTCCACCCCGCGCCCAGAATCCAGTGGAGATGCTGGCGACCAGGAGAGCTTCTTGCCGCGCGCGCGGAGCTCGTCGTTTTCGGGCGATTGGGACGCACGGTGACGCATCCTTCCGCATCTTCGCCGACCCAGCAGCCGAGTCAAAGACTAGATGGTGACTAACTAGAGTAGAGTCTTATTTGGGTGACCTGAGTTCGTTTGACCTTCCTGTTTCAGCCGTCGGACTGGACTATAGTGACTATACATTCTCTAGCTGCTCTGCTCGGGGTGCCGCTATCTAGCTGCTGCCGGGGGGAAGCTGTTCGGAGCGAACCGAGCATGGGAGGCCACTTCGAGCCCTTTGTTGCTATAAGAGTTCATAGAACCCAGATGCTCCATGAGACTGCCATATTTGCATACATTGGGGTGGTGGGTCAACGGAGTCAATGGCGTGGCATATATTCCAGTCCCATGGAGCGTATATGGGTAAATAGCATACCAAACCACAAGCACCGAGGGTCTCAGCGTGTAGTTGAGAGTATTAGATATAGCAACATGTCTAGCAACAGCAAGGAGCATCTCATTTGGTGTTCCCCAAGAGCAACTCTGTTTTTGCTGGCATGATGCGATGTTTTTTGGCCATGCACAGCCATTTGCGGGGAGCTGGGTGAAAACCAACAAACCTCCTGCAGCAATGGACCCGTGACCAAACCTTGCTGAAGGATGTTGAATGCGAGTTCCTTGCACACGGGCACGCCCAGCAACACCCAACACCTGCGTGGAATAGTAGTCCTGCACTAAATCGTAGACTAGATCCCATAGATCCCCCGCCTCTTCATCTGCGATATCTATGATGGGATCATATGGGACTTGGGATCTGCACTGACCAAACAGTGGGCAATGGGTAATAGTGTCTATGGGATCGTCGCCCCCCATTGTGCAACTGACCAACGCTGGGTCGACTGTTCGACGCCAGGATTG